AGCAAATTGCAGTTCTTGCGGTGCATTTCCCTCCCCTGCCGCCGCTGCGGCTTTTCACCTCTGGCGTTGCTGCCACCGCGGCCTTTTTCCTTTCCTCTCATCGTTACAGCAAATTGCAGTTCTTGCGGTGCATTTCCCTCCCCTGCCGCCGCTGCGGCTTTTCACCTCTGGCGTTGCTGCCACCGCGGCCTTTTTCCTTTCCTCTCATCGCTACAGCAAATTGCTGTTCTTGCGGTGTACTTCTCCTCCCCCGCCGCCGCTGCGGCTCTTCACCTTTGGTGTTGCTGCCACCGCGGCCTTTTTCCTTTCCTCTCATCGTTACAGCAAATTGCAGTTCTTGCGGTGCATTTCCCTCCCCTGCCGCCGCTGCGGCTTTTCACCTCTGGCGTTGCTGCCACCGCGGCCTTTTTCCTTTCCTCTCATCGTTACAGCAAATTGCTGTTCTTGCGGTGCATTTCCCTCCCCTGCCGCCGCTGCGGCTTTTCACCTCTGGCGTTGCTGCCACCGCGGCCTTTTTCCTTTCCTCTCATCGTTACAGCAAATTGCTGTTCTTGCGGTGCATTTCCCTCCCCTGCCGCCGCTGCGGCTTTTCACCTCTGGCGTTGCTGCCACCGCGGCCTTTTTCCTTTCCTCTCATCGCTACAGCAAATTGCTGTTCTTGCGGTGTACTTCTCCTCCCCTGCCGCCGCTGCGGCTTTTCACCTCTGGCGTTGCTGCCACCGCGGCCTTTTTCCTTTCCTCTCATCGTTACAGCAAATTGCAGTTCTTGCGGTGCATTTCCCTCCCCTGCCGCCGCTGCGGCTTTTCACCTCTGGCGTTGCTGCCACCGCGGCCTTTTTCCTTTCCTCTCATCGTTACAGCAAATTGCTGTTCTTGCGGTGTACTTCTCCTCCCCCGCCGCCGCTGCGGCTCTTCACCTTTGGTGTTGCTGCCACCGCGGCCTTTTTCCTTTCCTCTCATCGTTACAGCAAATTGCTGTTCTTGCGGTGCATTTCCCTCCCCCGCCGCCGCTGCGGCTTTTCACCTTTGGTGTTGCTGCCACCGCGGCCTTTTTCCTTTCTCTCATCGTTACAGCAAATTGCTGTTCTGGCGGTGTATTTCTCCTCCCCCGCCGCCGCTGCGGCTTTTCACCTTTGGTGTTGCTGCCACCGCGGCCTTTTTCCTTTCTCTCATCGTTA